CCAGTAGGAAAGGATCGCTTGAGACTGGGGGTGAGACCAGCCTGGGCAACATGAGACTACGCTGCTCCAAAAAAAAAAAAAAAAAATTAGCTGGGCATGGTACTGTACAGCTGCCGTCCCAACTACTTAAGAGGCTGAGGCAGAAGGATTGGTTGAGCCCAGGAGTTTGAGGCTGCAATGAGCTATGATCATGCCACTGCACTCCAGCCTAGGTGACAGAGTGAGACCCTGTCTCAAAAAAATAGGACATTTTGAACCAAAACAAAGTTATTTCCTCCTTTAATCCTGTTAGTCATTTGGAATTGGACCTCTTGATCATTTCACATAATAGAGTATATTTAAATGAGGATGGTCAGATAGGAAAGGAAAGGAGATTTCAGTTGGGGTTTCTTGAAAATTATTGCTGATTTCTGATCTTTCTGCTTTTCCTAGGAAGGAATGTAATATTGGCTAGCTTGTGCCCTCAAGTGTTTGGAATGTATCTAGTAAAGCTTGCTGTGGCCATGGTGCTGGCTGGTGGGATTCAAAGGACTGATGCGACAGGAACACGGGTCAGAGGTTAGTACCTATTTAGAAATTTTGAGTAATATTGACACATGGAGAGAAGCTAGAACTTTTTCTTTCCCGAATAAAAACTGCTTATTTTCCAATTGTAATCTTATAAAGCTGACAGTTGTCTGAATATCTCATACTTAGTCTAGCATCTATAGATTGGAAGCTACTTTATAGAATTCCAGAAAGACTGAAAGAAGTTACATTTTTCTATGGCATATACTTTTGCTATAGCCTATAAGAATGCCACAAAATAAAATTGTTTCTATTACTGTGTTTTTTGTTGGATCCCCGGTCTGTTTTCAAAAGGAAAAAGATTAGAAATAGTGCATTTTAATGTCTCCAGTCAGTGTCTCTCCATCTGTGGCTGTCACTGTGTTTCTCTTAGACTGCTGCTTTCAGTCATCTGCCTGCTGATTCCCCTTCTGCTGGTAGATAGCAAATGTGCCATCTGCCATGGGGTGCTGCTGCAGGTCACACCTTCAAGAAAAGATTACTCTTAAGTGTATAATTATGTCCAGATGGCAGAAAGCTCTTTTGCAGCTAACACACTTAACCAGAGTCTGGCATACGGGTTATTATGTCCCCGCATGTGGGCCATAATAACCAAAAATTAAACCAAAAGACTAAAAGGACATTATTATAAATCAGGCTTAGTAGAGACTCGAAAACCATATAGTACAGTGTAGAATAGTTAAGTATAAGGTGTACTTACATGTTTTGATCACCTACTGTTTTGCAAGGCACTCTGCCAAATGTTGAGCTTAAATAGGGGTTTCCTATTAATGTATTTAGGGAACACTTGAGTATTGCTGAATAAACTTGGTCAGTGAAATCATATGTACCACATGATATGCACATGTTATTTATGCTACATTTGCCAAATGAGTACTTATTTTAAGATACATATTTCACTAAGTTACTAAATGAACTTTTCATAAATGAAAAGGTCTTAACTGTTGGAAACATAAGTAATTTGATATTTATAAAGTACTTGTAAAATCCCTAATACTTCTAAGTGCTTAAATAAAAATAGAATAAAATACTCGTATGACTTGTATGCAAGAATTTAATCATAGTAGTTTGGTATTTAAAAATAGAGTAAATCAGAAACTTTATAAGCCAAAAATTGTTTATTTGTTTTTGTAGAGATGGAGTCTTGCCCAGGCTGGTCTCACATTTCTGGGCTCAAGTGACCCTCCTGCCTTGGCCTCCCAAATGCTGGGATTACAAGTGTGAGCCACCACACCTGGCCCAGATATTTTTTAAAATGTTAAACATAGGCCTAAACATCTGGAAATAGCACATAATTTATTAATAGAATTTAGATTCTATGTCACATTTAGTAATCAATTAAGGATTGTTATGTTTATGACAGTTAACTTTCTAAAGATTTTCTAGTTAAATCCTTTCTCAAACAACCCTATGGAAAAGTACACAGTAAAAACACTGTAAAATTTTGTTGGCATTCCAAATGGACCATTTTCTAATTATTCTTAGTTCATGGGCCCTTTTATAGAAATTTAAAACCTCACATATTTGCTTTTTCCTAGGTGAATCTCATCTTTTATTGGTTGGAGATCCCGGCACAGGGAAATCTCAATTCCTCAAATATGCAGCAAAGATTACACCAAGATCTGTGCTGACCACAGGAATTGGATCTACTAGTGCAGGTATTCTATGTGACAATTTCAAGTAATGTAACATTACTTCAGAAGTTAACACAATGTTTTTTTCTAAGGAAAAACTACCTATAATGGGATAAATTCCAAGCTAATGTTTAAGTTACTGCTAAAAATGGAAGGAAATATGCAGTGTTATTTTGGTGGCTCTAAGAAAATATCCTGAAAGCTCCACCTTCACTTTGCATCTTAGTTTTGAACAACCCTATTCTATTTTCTCATTCTCTAGTGATTACCTTCATACTTTTATGCAGGAAAAAGTCCATATCATCTGGCATTTTATGAAGACTCAACAACCAGAATGTTAGACTAAAGAGGGGGATATTTCACTTTACCAAGTAGATAGATGGCATACAGCTTAAGGCATTTTCATGCTTATAAATCTGATAGGCAACAGTAGCGCCTACTGAAATTTCTTAGGTAGGGAATGTTTATTAGTATGTGGAAAATATACTTTCATCATTGCAATGTGGAGCTTCATTCATAAGTTGTAATGATTCTTTAGCAAGTACATTAAAAAACCTTTGCAGGTAGAATGTCAAGATTTGATTATAAATAAAGTGACCTAGCAAATTTAGAAAAAAAAAAAATTAAAAAAAAATATGTTTAGGCCGGGTGCAGTGGCTTACACCTGTAATCCCAGCACTCTGGGAGGCTAAGGCAGGCGGATCACGAGGTCAGGAGATCGAGACCATCCTGGCTAACACAGTGAAACCCCGTCTCTACTAAAAATACAAAAAAATTAGCTGGGCGTGGTGGCGGCGCCTGTAGCCCCAGCTACTCAGGAGGCTGAGGCAGGAGAATGGCGTGAACCTGGGAGGCGGAGCTTGCAGTGAGCTGAGATCACACCACTGCACTCCAGCCTGGGCGACAGAGCAAGACTCTGTCTCAAAAAACAAACAAACAAACAAACAAAAAGTAGGTTTGATGCTACTTTGTATTTTTACAGTTTTGACTGGGTGATGTTTCTGGTCTTCTAAAAACAGACCCTTGGCTTCACACATTTTAAAAGTGTTTGCTGCTTGTTAAGGAAGTCAGATTAACTTCCACTGGCCTAATGAATGCTCAAATTTCTAATGAGAAACTTACACTTTAAAATTTATCATACAACAGAAAATGGCCCATTAATGGTCCTATATAAGTGGAAAACTGTTATTAAAGGGGTCTCAGGTTTTGAAATATAAACAGTGTATTAGCCATCGACAAGAATGGATCTTTGGAATTGAGAAGAGTAGACAAACTTCAGGATACTAGGCACGAATATATAAAGAACATTTCCCATGCATTTTAAATCCGTATGACCCAGTGTTCTAAGTTCTGTATAAAATGACACCAACAACAAATAAAGACGTTCCCCAAGTAATTATGTGGAATGTTTCCTAATTATGTAGAGTGTCAAGAAAATCTAGTGGATGACTGGTAATTTCAGAGTATTTGGGCAGTTTGACAGTGAATTGCTGCTGATTCACTGGATTAGTGAATTAGTATAAAAGTGTATTAGCACATTTCCTCCTTTGTAATGCAAAGATCATAATCCAAATATGAGAGAACAAGTATAGGGAATATAAATTTTATGGTTGCAGAATAGTTATTGCTACTTCTGGTCTACCCAAAGGGCCAGACTAGCCTTTCTTCAGATTGTGTATTGCAACCCATTATAGAGATTAAAAGTCAATTCAGTGGGTCAAAACCAGCACTTTCAAAGTGAAATACAATAAAAAATACCAAAATACTGCATAGTAAAGGTACACTAAGGGTGTGTTTTCATGAAAATTTTTAACATAAACTTTTTATGGAGTCGTGCTTTTTTTTTGAGATAGAATCTAGTGCTCTGTTGCCCAGGTTGGAGTGCAGTGATATAATCTCGGCTCACTGCAACCTCTGCTTTCTGGGTTCATGTGATTCTCCTGCCTCAGCCTCCTGAGTAACTGGGATTACAGGTGTGTACCACCATACCTGGCTAATTTTTGTATTTTTAGTAGAGACAGGGTTTCACCATGTTGGCCAGGCTGGTCTTGAACTCCTGACCTTGAGGGATCCACCCGCCTCAGCCTCCTCAAGTACTGGGATTACAGGCGTGAGCCACTGTGCCTGGCCCTAACCTTTTTGTACCATGGATTATGGTAAAAAGTTTTGATAACTGCTGCCATAGACATGCTTGGGAAAGCTAGAAATCCCAAATCCTAAAATTAGATGGTACAGTTATATGGGAGCCTAAAGTTGTATAAGGTTATGAATGGGCAAATAAATGCATGCATACTTCTTCAGACTTCTGTAATGTTTTCTCAGCCCAAATAATACCCTTATTGCCTCCATCTTAGTGGCATAAGTCATTGGTTCATGTTTATATTCTCAGGACACAGCTATTTACTACGATCAAAAGGGTGGAAAACAGTTCTTCAGATGTAGTATCGGTAAATGAGGCTAGACCAGAGGGGGGAAAAGAAAACAACCTATGTGCTAGTTTCTTAGTTTCTAATGTTTGAAGTCTAAATCTATTTTCAGTCATTAATTTAAGAAAATTCTTAAGAGTGATAAAATTTAAGATAACAAAAGGTAATGGTTTGCATGTCCCAAGCTTAAGTGAAAATTGGTTGTCCATTTACAAATTGATACAAAAACCTAACCCTTTGATGTCACTACAAATAGATTGTTATAATTAGAATAAAAACTCAGCAGTAAATGGCTTTATTTGGTGATTTGGCTATAGATGCTTTATTTCTAATAAGCACATGTGTTGTTCCTATTATATTAACCACTGAGCTCTTTGTTGGAAAGTAATGCTTTTATTTTCATTTTAATATTTTAACATTTTTCTTTTAATTGCAATTAGACAAATGAGATTTTCTTTATATAGTTTTAACAGTCAAGTATTTTACTTTTAAAATCTATGAACTAGTTAATGGACAATATTTTAATAATCTGGTATATTAAATTCAAAGTTTAACATCTGGCAAAACTTTTGCTTCACAAATTCACTTTTTTAGAATGATAGGAAATATATACAACTCAGAATCCGTATTTAGACAAATGCCCTTTTCCTTTCCTCAACATAAAAGCTTTAAAAAGTGCAGTATAAAAGTTTTAGATATGAAGGCACTGCATAACCTGCATCATATGGCTGTCTTGCTTAGCTGCAAGAATAATGAAAATATTCTACCCTTAATTTTATGGAGCATAAGAAAATTTTTGAGGAAGGACTTAACTCTCAAAGAAAAAGAAACCTTTTACCCCATTTAGTTAATTAATTCCTTTCCAAGATTGCTTTTCAAAAACTTGTTGGAAAAGCTATCTAGAGTACGTCAACCACAAATATGCCTGATCTCATTCTGCATGAGTGTCAGAGGAAATGGGGAAGAGTACTACAGGTGTGAAAATATATATATTTCCAAAATAGTAACATATCTATTATGATAAAGCTAAATATACCTTTCTAAATCCATGGTTTTTATATAAATATTGCCAATAACATGATCTATTAAAAGAATTTTTAAAGTTCACGGTATTTTTAGAAATCAAATGAACAAATTTGAGCCATTATAATCTCCTATTCTTAAACATAGGGAGTTTGTATTTTCTCCCGATACTGTATTTGGTCTTAAATTCATTGGGCAATAATGATGTATGATTCAAGAAATGCTGATATTCTGAACTCTGTTATAAAAACAAAAACCATAGCCAGGGGACCTTTTAAACAATTAGCCATGTTTGTTATTTTCTTACAAAGCAAATCAAATGCTCTCCAACATCACATGAACTATAATAGTAGCCATAAGAGGCTTCATGGTGGCTTGGAAAATTGGATCCTCAAGTTCTTGGTAGCATATAGTTGATTTCAAATCCCCTTTTTAAGGACATGCCAAAAAAGAATGGAAATCTGCTCCTTAAATTAAAATGATACTATATGTCTTCACGGGAAGAAACATTTTAGTTGAAGTAAACTTTGTTCTTTCAAAGGCCAGTAAAATAGTCGTCCAAAGATTTTGTCCCGGAGGCCAAGACATCTTTACAACCTGGTCTAATGATTCATGTTTCTTTATAAGTGCTTTCATTACATATACAGGAGAAGAAAATAATATATATGCTTTAATCAGATTAGTTTCAGAACAAATAAAATAACACATTAGAGAAAAAAATTACTTAAAAATAGTTGTATTTATATTCCACAATTTGTTCAAATACTGGTTTTCTTATAAACTTTCTACAGGATGTTTTTAAACAAATTCTTCACATTGTGTTTTGACTATGTACTTACGGAATTTCAGGGAAATAGTTCTGTGTATTTTTAATAGCTTAATTTGTACTAAAGGGATGGTAGGTGGTCACATGCAGTCCATGTGGGATTCTAACATGACATTTAGTGAGTTTTCTGATGTGGACCATCCCTTTGATGCTGAAGGTAATGCATCTGTTGAAAGAAGTGACTGTAGATTTGGATTACTGCTCTCTGCATCTTCCAGTTTTTCTGTGTTGTCTTCCCAATTAATGTGGAATCTTGTGACCCTGGGATTAGATGCCAAAATATTCCTTTGAAGCTAGAGGAAAAAGGAAACATCCAGATGGTAAACACTACAAAAGTTAAATCACCATATACAAATAGGAGCTTACTAAAATGGTTCCTGTTAGTACTTCTAAAGGGCTAAGTTCATATACAAAGGTATAATTCAAGTTAAGTACCTTAAATATAACTAATAAGGACTAGGGCTGTAGCAAAGAAGTTATTTTAGACGAACAGAAACAATATACGGAGAATCTGAGGGGATTTGTCTGGCTTTTTAACTACTTAACTCCTATACTTCCGTTTTCTAAAAGAAAGAATCTCCTCTTTTTTGAAAGTGAATGCTTTAGAAGATGCTTTATTTAACAAGCTACTATGTTGTTTAGATATGTTTTCAAGGAAAATGAAAAATTGTCAAATACGTCTTATTATTATTAATGGTTTCCTACACCTTTTAAAGACAGCTCATTCTTAGAAACAGTCCTGTTTCTTTTCTTTTGTGCTATACAAGGTGCTTCAGAGATAACAAATTGGATCAATGGAAGGTACCACAACAAGGGTGAAAAATAGTTCTGCCTTATTATCAGAAAGGAGAACATGAGAACATTCTATTCTGTTGCCATGTAATTTTTCTTGCATGGTCTGGCAGATAGAGTGCCATGTTCAACTTCATTTACTGTGTACTCTCACAAAATCACCAGTTACTAAACTGTTATAGTTCCCAGTGAAAAATCAGAAAGTACTAAGTATCTTTAAGAATACTGAATCATAGATTTCATCTTCTCACTCAGAATTTAAGCTGTTTTCAGTTACCAGAAATATTTAAGACCATTAGTTTAACTTCTAAGAATAGCAGATAAAGCATGTAGGTGTTTTGAGATAACTGTGTTCATAGAAAAAACAAACACAAAACTTTCTCTCACAATTTTGGGAAGAGTTACACACAAAAATATCATCACTGAATAATTAGTACAACAAAAATGAATTTGTATGTCCTAAAGGTTGAAATGAACAGAATCATGATGGGAATAATCAATATGGCAAATGCTATACAGAAAGCCATAAACAAAGGCCTGTCTCTTACAAGAAGTACTTTCGCTGGGCGCGGTGGCTCACACCTGTAATTCCAGCACTTTGGGAGGTCGAGGTAGGCAGATCACCTGAGGTCAGGAGTTCAAGACTAGCCTGGCCAACATGGTAAAACTCCGTGTCTACTAAAAATACAAAAATTATCCGGGTGTGTTGGTATACACCTGTAGTCCCAGCTACTTGGGATGCTGAGGCAGGAGAATTGCTTGAACCTGGGAGGAAGAGGTTGCAGTGAGCTGAAATCACGCCACTGCACTCCAGCCTGAGCAACAGGGCAGGGCACTATCTCAGAAAAAAAAAAGAGGTACTTTCATTTTTCTAAACCATCAGAAATGCTCAAGGTGTCTGCCTACATTAATTACTAATGACTCATCTGAAGGTAGGGTTTAAAGTCATCCATGGTAATGGAACAATAATTAGTTTGCCCAGTTGGCATAAGGACCTCAGATTTATTTTATCTCAAAGCCATTTTAATAGTATACTATGAAATTGCAATAGCAACTGCTTTAAAAATTGTATAGTAAAAGCAGTTAAAAAGGAATAGTAAGAACATTACCTTAGAAAAGTCTGGTTTTACTGGCGGATTTTCCCTTAATTCTGTCTCAGTATATTCATTATTTACATAATAGCCAACTCTAATAAATTCTTGTCCTCGATAGGTACAAGTAATTAGCACAACAGTTACGCCTACTGCATCTGCATCTGGAATGAGTCCTGGATTAGGTGCATCAGCCTAGAATAAATTAAAAAGAAAAGAAACACACACACACAAAAGGCTGTTAGTGGCAGGCAAGACTGGAATTTGTCACCTAGAACCATCAGTTGAGGACGCAACAACAAAAACTTGGAAATCATACTGAGAAGGAAAATGCTCATTTTTGACTGACTTATAATAAGCTGGAAAAGACAGTTCATGTTTCACCACAGCATACATAAGGACCCTCGATACTTGAAAGCATGACTACACTTCTAAAAGGAAGAAGTTCTGGCTACACTGCGTGGTGATTCATGAAGGATTATACACTATTCATTATAAAACCTTTACAGTCAGCAATTGATTTTAACCTTTTCAGTCATTATTTTCAGACCTAAATTAGTTAAGTATTATCTCCTCATAGCCTGTTGGTCACAAATGTTTATTATACCAGTTTCCCTCTCCAACCCAGGATACTTATATTCTCATACCCACTCAACCACCCCCACAGGTATTCTAATAGTAAATTAGTATAAAACTGAAAATGAGGCTGGGTACGGTGGCTCAGGCCTGTAATCCCAGCACTTTGGGAGGCCGAGGTGGGTGGATCACAACGTCAAGAGATTGAGACCAACCTGGCCAACATGATGAAACCCCGTCTCTACTAAAAATACAAAAATTAGCTGGGCATGGTGGCACACACCTGTAGTCCCAGCTACTTGGGAGGCTGAGGCAGGAGAATCGGTTGAACCTGGGAGGCAGAAGTTGCAGTGAACTGAGATTGCACCACTGCACTCCAGCCTGGCAACAAAGTGAGACTCCGTCTCAAACAAAACAAAACTGAAAATGAGATGGAAATAGCTACATAGCAGATTTTCAAAAAATATTAATAACCCTCTATTATGAATAGTTACTTTGCTAGACTCTACAATATAGTATGCTGTTTAAACCACACATAATGTGGAAACCAATGAAGGTAAAGATTGTTTTAGGCAGATGTCAAAGACCTTGTTTTAAATCAAGCTATTGTAAGGTGAACCTTGAGGAATGCAAAAGTAAATTCAGTTAGACTAGACTAAGAGCATGAGTGAAGGGCATGGTCCCATCCACCGTAGTGTGCAGGATAGTAATGAGATGACCGAATGGAAGGAGCCATAGGCTGGGGAACACAGGCAGTGATGGCTGAGGCATCTGAGGCAGCCATTCTGGGTGGTAAATGGATCAAGTCCCAGCAAATTAGCTTACCTGTTGCCAGGGCACCAAGGAATATTCCTGGGCCTAGATGAGCACTTTAGCCAATGCCTTAGCTTGGGAAAGTTGAAGACTAATGTTTACTGTATCCTTAACACAGGTAGATGATACAAAAAGGCATAAAATTGCTACCTAGTGTCCTAGGCTAAAAATCTCAGTCACGCTCACTCCCTTATCTCCTATATCTAGTCAGTCTCAGCATTTTTCATTTCTGGAGGCTGAATTCATGTCATCTCCTATCTGGAATATTGCTTAGAATTTTCTAACTGATCTCCCCAGCTGTAGCCTATCATTTGCACTGCTACCAGCATTAACACAGATCTGTTCCTTTCTCTTTGGTTTTAAAACCTCAGATTATTAAAACCCTCAGATGAGTATTCCCTTTTCTAAAGGATAAAATCTCAGTTCTTTAACTTCATTGATAAGGCCCTTCTCAGTCTGTCTCCAACCAACATCTCCATTCATACCTCCTTTAACTCCACCCTTGTTCTAGAGATATGAATTACACAGGTTCTTTAAAACTTGGTGATAAATCTTTCACACTCCGTCCGAGCACAGTGGCTCATGCCTATAATCCTAGCACTTTGGGAGGCTAAGGTGGGCAGATCACTTGAGCCCAGGAGTTTGAGATTATCCTGGGCAACATGGCGAAACTCCATCTCTACAAAAACAAATTTAAAAAAGAAATATTTCACCCCCTGTGCTTCTAACATACTGTTCCCTTGGCCTGAAAGGTCCTTTTCTCACATCCTGAAAAATTCAACTTTTAATCTTTTTTGGAGCTTACACTGAGTGTATTCTTAGTGATGCCCTTTCTAACTCAGAAGGTAGAATCAATAGATTCCTTTTTTATGTGCTGATATTTCTTGTCACAAATTCTTTAAGAATGTATGCCCTGTGATCTAAACATGTTTATTTTTCAGTCTTCTCTTCTAGATGCTACGCTTTATCCAGGGCAGGAGTCCCATCCAGTTCATCTTTATAATCTCATGTGTGGCTCAGCTCTGAGCACTTATTATTTTGGAATTCATCGGTAACTCAGTTCCTGTCCCAAAGGGGTTTATGATCTCTTTGGCGAGACACCAGGATAGGGACAGCCAGCCTTGTCCTGGAGAATATGCTGTTTGTCTTAGAGATTCTACACACCCCTGCGCAGAGGGGTTAGATTACTTCCAGTGTACCCAAACGGATTCTAATATACCTGGAAGTGGGTGGAGATGGGAAATACATAATAGTTCAGTACTGCTATGAGAACTCTGCCCCCATATTGCTTCCCTTCAGTGAATTGGTTCTAGGCGTGTTTCTGTTTTAAAATCTGTTGTAAATATAAAACATTTTTTTAAAAGCATTTTACAATTTGAAAAGGATTCATTTTGAGCAAATTTGAGTAGAGAAACTTGCAGGCCTTTCAAATAATTTAGGATGCAGAAGTGATGAGCAGAGATCTTTGTTTTGACTGTAGCTGGCAATACTAGGCAGATGTCTGGACATCTTCCTGGTAGCCTTTGACTCATTCAGAAGAAAGACATGTTTAACCATTTAGAGAGGCAAAATTGTGGCAGACCAGGAGATTACTATAGCAGTTTTAAAACCCAAAACAAAAGCTGTAATTTAGTCTCTTTCTGTTGATAATGGTGAATTTTGCAAAACCTTCAGGCTGAATATACATTGTGCCTCCTCTGTTCTTTTTTGCAACATGTACACTGACACCAAGGTAAAACTACGTGAAGATCACCGGCAGGAAATGCTTTTGAATACATTTTTTTCCTATAGCACTTTCAGCCAAAAGCTTAGGAGTATGCTTAATAACAAACACAAAAGATTTTCAGGGTTTGTTTCAATAACAAGGCATTTATTTGTAAGTTCTTATAGTAGCAAAAAAACAAAAAACAAAAAACCAAAGGTATATCAGTACATGTCAACCCAGGTTTCTTTTACTGTATCATGAATTATCAGTAAAGTATGGGTTCCCCAGGCCTGTGGGTCAAAGCAAGTCCTGCTTTTTTATATAACAATTTCAAGAAGTTAAGAGAATAAAAATGTAGTTCTAATTATAGGAATAGGGCACTATTTATGAGTGAGTTGAGTGTACTGTTTTATTCCCCATAACATTTTAATGAGATAGAATATTATCCACATTTTATAGAAGACTGGAGTGACTAAGGGAGGAGGTTAGGCAGGTAAAGTCACACAGCAATAAGCAGAGGTGTCGGCATTTGACCTGTATCTGTAAGTACAGTGCTTCCTCCTGCAGGGCATTGTGTTACCCATGTCTTTTACAGGGTCATGCACTCACACAACTTTGGTTAACAGCACTTTTAATTCATATATTTAATTAGTGTATTTGAGCTTTTCTTAGCTATTTCTTTAGATACCGTAAATTATTTGTTGCTTTTTAATCAAAAGTACTACGGCTAGGAAACCAAGATTCTAAATTCTGTATTTAGGACAGGGGAGGGAAAGGTAGCAGCTCTAGAGATAGCATGTGTCTAAGTGATTCTTTGCCAGTTTCTGATAGGATTATTTGACCAACAGTATTCATTTAAATTGGTCCCATCTGTGAAGTGAGAAAACAGAGGTCAGGCATAGGAAGAGTTAGATTTTCTTTCTGGATTAAGTCTTTTCAGTGAGTTCCACTTAACTGATGGGACTTTGTTGGGTTGAAATACTTGTAACAGAAATTAATAGTAGTTTTAAAAAACCTATGGCTAGTTACTCTTTGGTCTATTACAAATATCTCTCTTATAAAGAAGCATGCATCATTGAGGAATAATTGAATGGTTTCATATAGCAATTTAACATGGATTAAAAGAAATAACACTTTTGAATATAGAAGACAATGTCTGAAGCCTTGGTATAGATCCAAATACTCTCAGTGGTATCTAAGAACATAATTTTTATGACTAGAACTTCTCCTCACAAATACCTAGTGGGGTAGTAAATTTGCAAAAGTAGTCCTCTATAAGATAATGTAGATTATTAGATGCTTTAGTAAACTCTGGAATGTCATTCCAATGATCCAAGACCACACATCTGTATCCACCAAACATATCTGTTAACCTAGCTCAACTACTGATTATGCTGAAATAAAGTTGTTTTTGTTACATCATCAGTTATAGTGGCTAAAACCATAAACTGAAGATGCATATTACTGACAATGCCAGTTAGTTTTAGATATTTTGAATCCATGTTTTGGGATGCTAGACAGCCACCTTGGAAGTCTGATACTTAGATGCTATTCACAGGAAGAGCCCAAAATTCACCACCCTGTGTGCCATGATACAGTATAAAGTTTACTGCAGGCTGTGCATCTCCCTAAAATAAACATCACATTAACATCTCTCAGCATATAAAACCAGGAAGTAAGAGTTCCTTTGTGACACAGAGACTGCCTAAAACAAGATGGAAACAGATTAAAAGTGAATGCAGCAGAAACAGAGTTATTTAACCCAAAAGGAAAGGGATAACAGTTATAATAGATAATATAGTCTACTTCAAAACATATGTGGCATACACATTTACCAAGATTAATCTTACCTGAAATACAAACATATGCCTTCCTGCAGGAACAGGGCCCACTAAAACAGAGTCTAAAACTTGATCGTATTCTTCACTTTCTGCAGAGCCCACATAGATAATTTTCCATTCCAAGTCTAGGGTTAAAAAACCAAAGCATTACTTCATATTCAGTAATTACATTACCAGATGACATCAAAGACCCTTTTAATGTCCACTTAGCCACTTACTGGCTGTTAGGCTTCTCATGGCAATCCAGAAAGGCAGTGAAATGCTCTTTATAAAGTTCTTACCAGAGTTCATACTTTATATCAGAGTTTCTCAAAATATTCTTTTGTGAAACACTAGTTCCTAGACAGTGCCTCACAAACAAGATAACATAGCCAAACACTTGGGAAATGCTGTAAACCTTGAGGATTCATAAAGCACACTGGCATAGTAAATTTTCTGAGACATCCTTCAGTAAAGAATACCAGTAACATTAATCCAGCATTTCCCAAATTTATTTGGCTATGGAATCCCCCTTTTTTTGTATGTCATCTTTTAATGTCCTCCTCAACACACTTTGGAAGGGCAGCCCTATACCATGTTGCAGAGATCTAAATAATCACAGAGCTCCAAAGTAGAAAAATTATTAGTAAAACCTCCCTTGTGGCTCAGAAGTAAGTGGCTTCAGCTCATCAACTGTCTAAAGGATGACGATGGGGTTTTTCCCTTATGGCACCCCCGTGTCGTACATTCTTTAAATTGGGAAGAGGAAACCAAGATCTTTACACCACGTGATACAATAGAGTATACACAGCGGAGATAGGCAGGAGGAAAAGACATTCATTCAGGTGCAACTCAAGGCGTTACATGTAATTCAATATAGCAGATTTTACTGAGCATGCTTTACAATGTGTTCTGTGAAGTGAACCCAGAGATGAGTAGAACTCTTTGGAGGAGTCTCCTGTTTAGTCGGGGAAGAAGATAACTTTGTAATACAAACCATCTCTGAGAGACCTCTTCATATTCTTTACGTATTTTGCACTGTGGGGCCTGCCTCTTGCATTCAACACACTGTTACATAAGCACTCCCAAAGGGTGAGTTTCTGGGTCACTTTTGACAATCTAGTTAGTGCCGTCATGTGTTGCCGTTTTTGTGTAACTGTAGATAATTTTGTTCCCTAAGTTGATAATAGAAATAGTAACGTACTGCTCATTTATATTGTATTGTAAACTACAATCAACTGAAAGGTCCTTTTTTATTTTCTCTTATTAAGTCACTAATCACTTTCTGAGGACCTATTATGTCATGGCTCTGTCCTAGAACTAGACCATTTATATTTCCAGCTTCCAGCACATTTCCAGATGCAGGGTGCTGCATCTGACATCTCCTGAGATCATCTGTTGATGGAGATAGAAATAGGCAATATAAGTATCTCATCAGAGGGAACGGCAAATACAAAGGCCAGAGGTAGGGTACACTTGGCAAGAAAAAGCAAGGAGGCCAGGGCTGGAACAGAATGAAAGCAAGGGGGAAAGCAACTAACCCTATAATTGAGGATGAGGGGAACAGCCAGATCATGCGGTTTTGAAGGCCATCATAAGGACTCTGGCTTTCACACTGAGTGGCATGGGAAGCCATCGGAGGGTTTTGAGCAGAGCAGTAACAGGAGCCAACTTTCATTTTTTTTTTTTTTTGAGATGGAGTCTCGCTGTGTCGCCCAGGCTGGAGTGCAGTGGCACAATCTCCGCTCACTGCAAGCTCCGTTGCCTCCCAGGTTCACGCCATTCTCCTGCCTCAGCCTCCCAAGAAGCTGGGACTACAGGTGCCCGCCACCATGCCCGGCTAATTTTTTCGTGTTTTTAGTAGAGACGGGGTTTCACCGTGTTCACCAGGATGGTCTCGATCTCCTGACATCGTGATCCGCCCACCTCGGCCTCCCAAAATGCTGGGATTACAGGCGTGAGCCACCATGCCTGGCCCCAACTTTTATTTTAAAAGGAATGCTTTGATTGCTGTGTTCAATATAGAATGTAAGAGGACAAGGGAAGAAACAATATTTCAACAATTGAGGCAAGAAATTATAGTGGCATGGACCTCATGTGGCCATGGAGCTGTGCAACAGTTATATTCTGGATAAAATTCTTAAGATGAAAGCAGCAGGAGCCACTTTTGCAGGGGGGTGACATGGGGTGGAGGAACAATCAGGAGTTCATTTTAGACATATTTGAGATGTCTGCTATCTAAGTAGAGATACTGAATAGGCAGGATAAAAATTTGGAAACTGTCAATGATATGTTAAGCTGTAAAAATACATAGGCTTGCTCTAAGGAATGAGATTCGAGACCTCCAAAGATAAGAGGACAAATAAACAAAGTAAGTTACAAAACAAGTGGCAAATGAGGTAGGTGACCCAAAAAGCAAGTGAAGAAACTGTTTTAAGCAAGTGGTGTGAAAGGTACTAAACTAGCCAAGTGAGGATAAGACTAAGAATCATCACAAAGAGTGGCTGGGCACAGTGGCTCACGCCTGTAATCCCAGCATTGTGGGAGGCTGAGGTGGCTGGATCGCTTGAGGTTAGGAGTTTGAGACCAGCCTGGCAAACATGGTGAAACCCATCTCTACTAAAAATACGAAAATGAGGAGTGACACATGCCTGTGGTCCCAGCTACTCGGGAGGCTGAGGCACAAGAATCGCTTGAACCCAGGAGGCGGAGGTTGTAGTGAGCCGAGCTCGCGCCACTGCACTCCAGCCTAAGCAACGGAACGAGATTGTCTCCAAAAAAAGAGAAAAATTATCACATAAAGGTTTTCATAAATTTTTATTTTATATATAATTGTACCACTACATATAACGCCCCTGGATCCTAAGTGGTATAAATTGGCATTTGTGGACTGGCATAGGAGCACAGCCATAATTTATAAACCTATTTTAGAACATACCTACTATATGCTGGGTATTAGTCCTGCCACTTCATACCTATTGTTTAAACCTCAACAGCTTCATCATATGGATCAAATTATCACCATTATGCAAATAAGTTGAGACTCTGAGAAGTAAAGTAATCTACACAAATTCATAGTTTATACATCAAAGAATCAGAATCCAAGCTATGCCTACAAACCCTGGGCTTCTTCTGAAAACCTAACTGGGAAGATAAGATAAATTCTTTCTAGCTCTGAAGTTAGCAGTGGAATAAGGGAATTTATTTGCAGGGGAAGTGAGAGCAGAGGCGATGGTGAGATAATCTTGCCTTAACAAGAATAGGCTGCAACTCAGGGAACACTTGTACATTGATTTTTATGTTTATGGGAAGCTTGCTATAGTTACTGAGTTTTACATGCTCAGTACTTTTTTATACATGAGCATCAGTTTTTTTTTTTTTAAATCCAGCTTTCATTTAATTCCTCTGCCCCCTGTATTTGAGGGAGAAAGGGTAAGGTCAGATGCTTTACATAACTTCTCAGGTGAAGAAATCTGTTCATTTATTTTAACGTTAACTTTTATTTAATCACAGTAATCATGATTAAATGATTTACCCAGCCTGAAAGTATTTCCATTTGTGGTGAGAGTGAGTGAATGAGGGAAGTCATCAAGGGAATTTTTAGCTAATTACACTACTTGGGAAGACCTGTGGTCTAGTGGAAAGTATGTAGGCTTTGGAATTAGAACAAGCTGAAGTTGGAAAGTATGAAACACCGTGCTCAATTCTAGTATAAGTATTCAATTGAGAGTAGCTGTAATTAAGATTATATATAAATTTAAGAATGGCAGGATGGTCAATCAAAACTTGTACAGGCTTGGTAACCATCAAGCACATCCAGCCAGGATCTCAGGCTGTCTTAACCCCTGATATAAGCCCTATATTAGAAAGAATCAAATTATCTTAAGACCAGATATTCCTCACAGCTTTTTCTGAAGCAAAGCTACAGAGCAGCTCTTAAAGAAAAGTAAATGTTTGGGGGCTATTGACGAAAGTATGAAAAATGGTGGCCAAACTCTGCTTTGAGACTTGAGGCAAAATAACTTACAAAGAAAATTCTTTTCAAAATATTCTATAGTTTGGGCTGGGTGCAGTGGGCTCACTATAATCACAACACTTTGGGAGGCAGGGGTGGGAGGATTGCTTGAGCCCAGGGGTTCGAGACCAGCTTGGGCAACATGGCAAAACTCCATCTCTACAAAAAATTAAAATATTAGCCCAGTGTGGTGGCACATTGACTATGGTCCCAGCTACTCAGGAGGCTGAGGTGGGAGGATTGCTTGAGCCCAGGAGGTTGAAGCTGCAGGTAGCTGTGTTTGCACCACTGCACTCCATCCAGCCTGAGTGCCAGAGCCAGACTGTCTCATTAAAAAAAAAAAAAAAAAAATTCTATAGTTTAAGAACAGAATTTTTAAAAGAACTATAATGTAAAAGTATGGAACCTATAAGAAGCCTTTGCTAAGTAAACTCAATTTCCTTAATCCACATAGCCTCTAGGTGGAGTATACAGGCATGGCACCTTTTTGAAAGATTCCTTTGCAGCTTCAGTATGACTCAGCTTAAAATATTTTTTAAAATACTAAATAAATGCTCAGTAATGGTCCCTAGGAAGTGAAATATACCATTGGAAATAAGTATATTTTTGACACCAGTACTGTAAAACCCTGATGTGATTCAGCTGGGTTCTGAATGGATCCCAGTTAAAAATGGAACATGTTTTGGCTTTATGAATGGCTGGTTTCATCTATGCAATGTAAAAGCCCTGTAACGACATCCTGAGTCATCTATCTTCTTTGTTCAGAGCTGACTCCTAAAATGGAAGGCATCACTTGAGAAATACCTGTAATTTGAAGAACTTCTGGTGGTATATTTGAAAAACACTGTGGTGTAAGTTGGAATGGACCGATCAATGGTTTTTCTTTTGTCTATTTTTATATGCAGTTGGCAATAAAAAAAAAAAAATTACTGACTGTTGGGTGTGAAAAATGGGCCTGGTAGCTGCAATGCTTATATTCATAGTAGTATCATACAGATGACTTCAGAGTAATAAGAAAAATACCCCTAAGTGTTATCAATGGCCTATTTGAAATTATTTTAATAAATGAATCATCTTTCAAAATTTGCCCTATGTATGTGCATTTATGCTCTATATAGGTTTACCAAAAAAAAAA